CCTGCCACGCGCTGCCTCCTCTTTCCTTTGCCTTCACTTCCTCCTCCTCCTCCTTCCTCTATCCCTTCCTCCCCCTCCCCCTCCCTCATGTCTGCCTCCCTCATATCTACCTCCTTCCGCCTCCTTAACTCCTCCCTGACTCCTCTTCCATCTACCTCGGGCGATCATCTTCCGTGCCGCAATATGTAACAACGACTCGTCACACTCTGCTTGTCGGCGCACAAGATAATTGCCCTCATTATAGTTATTTAAAAAGCGCACCGCGTGCGCGAACGCGCGCCACCGCTGCCGCCGTCGCCGCCTCCTCCAACGCGATCGAGCCGGCCGATATAAAGACGCTGCCGAGCGCGAATTAATCGCGGGGGATGTTAGCGGAGGGAAGGAGAGAAAAAGAGAGGGGGGAAAAAAAAAGATGTAAGCGGTCGCGCGACCGCGCGCGCTCCGTCGGAGGTAGCTGTTGATTTCCGTCCCTAGGGGCAGCTCGTTCCACTTCAGGAGACTCGTACCAGCTACGTAACGAGCTGGACCGGGAGGACACGCGAAACTTAAAAAATACGGAAACTGATTTAGAGGATAATCGCTCGAGCCCCGTTACGTTTACCATTTTCTAAGATCTCGACGAGGAAGGAAATTAGATAAAGAAAATAATTTTCACGCTTGTCATATCTTCGCGGAGATTATTGGAATTTTTATGTTCAATGATTAAATCTACACGGAATAAAAAAAGAAGGCCGTTTCTCCAAATTATATAAAATAGCGAAGAATGGAGAGCGGGCGAACAAATTGCTATTTGTCGGGTGTAGCACGTTACGAGCCGCCAGGCCGTCGTTATCTTTTAACGAAGAGCCAAGGGAGATAGGCATGCTCCTGATTTTCTGGTCTGGTTGGGATTATATAGTATTGCAATGTACAGCGAACGCTGCTATTTCAGACACAAAGTGCCGGAATGTGCGTTTATTAGCGGTCGCGGACTTTAATGCGCGGCGGCGGCGGCGGCGGCGGCGGCGGCGGCGGCGGCGGCGGCGGAGGCGAATCATCTGGCGTGCTGTATTTGTACAGCGGGTACCGTTTTAAGTAACGGTAAACACCCGAGAAAACATCGGGGTGGGTGGATAATTAAGGCAACGTCGTTAAGCTCGACCGTTTCCTCCCGAGTACCGAATTAATCCTGAAATTGATGAGGAAAAAAAAAAACGAGTCTAAAAATCAAGATGCGAAAGAGATACATATTGTACGTAGTAGCTCGCAATAACAACGGAATAGAATATTTGTCTTCTCGCTGATACGCTTTGCGATTTAGAGTCGATAAATTATTGCGTACATCGGCGGCGATGCGCGTTATAATGTACAGACGTATATCCGATGATAAATAACGGTGTCGAGTTAAAGCGAGAAATCTGATTATTTTTGGTAGTCGATACTTTTATCGCTTTTCCGACGTGTACATGCCCGCACCGGTTCTGTGCTTTCTAAATACGTTTGCCGCTCATCGAGCTCATCAGGCATTTACGTTCACACGCGCGTTTAATATATCGGAACGACGACGAGAAATTCATATTCATTCGCAACCGTGTATGCGCGAATCTCGCCGCAACGAGCGCGCCGGAAACCGACAGTCGGAAACGGTAACTTGCACATCGAGATCCTACGTTTTTGTCGAGATCCTAATCGGCCACTATCCTCCACACTCTTAGTACATAATTTTTGTTATTATCACGCGCGAACTCTCTCCTGCCCCCGCTACAGCGGCGTTTAGTAATCGCCTTTTGATCAAGTCGCGTTATCGCCGTTGGAATATTAAACCAGCCATCCATGATATCCATGAAAACTCTTATCCATCCTCTTTGACATCCAACGCAACTTTTTTAACCTCTCCGATCTACCTTCGTGCGTGCGATACAAAAAAAAAAATTAAAGTTTTGAACGTTGAATCCTGCGAAAAGAGGGCGTGCGATAAAAGCGAGATAAAAAAGATGCACGCATTTCGTATTTGTATTCTGAGGACGCGATGCCGTCCGATAAACGTTCCGCGAGATACAAAGCGGCATTACCCAAGGTACAAACGTGGAAGCCCGCGTGCGGCGGCATATCTACGTGAGACCATTTGTTGATGATTTGAAACCACATTGTAGATCACGATAGGCCTTACCACCGACATGGCAATTTTCCATTTTTTTCATATTTTGAACAAAACTTATGTACATCTCTTTTCATACACTTTCTCACACGTTGGTAAATTTATTATCCAACACTTTTTTTATTAGCGGAGTGTTTACTTAGATATTTACTTGGAATGAACAAAATTGAAAGCCTCAGGGCTTGGGATTAAAAATTAATTCTGTCGAAATTATATATGTTGATGTTGTGAGCACAGTTATGTGCGAACTATGTATGTGAATTCTTCTACTTTTTCACCGTCATGTCTATTCGTTCGATACGGGCGGTGAATACGCCCGTTTGTCGATTTTTGCCGGTTAATACTCTTATTATCTAACTCGAGGAATTCATGCCCAGGCAGGATCCCCTAAAGCATGTGCATTTGCATACACTTAGCCGTGCGCGACCGCGTACAGGTCGCATCTTGGAAATCATCCGCGGGGATTCCACATGCCGCAATGTCGTAGAGATACGAAGTTATATGTACCGTACGACGCAACTGCGGGGCACGCAGGTGGTAGATTTTCCGATCGATCCTCGCGCGCGCGGGGCCGCGATTTGTTCCTCGTCGTCGTCGTCGTCGTCGTCGTCGTCGTCGTCGTCGTCATCGGGGACTTTTCGCGGACGAAGGGGGCCGCGGGGCCCCGTTCGCCGATTGTTCACGACGCAACATGCGCAGCAATGAAAGCTCGAACGGCGAAGAGTAAAAAGCCTGTGAGGTAGACATAAATAAATAGGTAGTGGGTGTGGTTGGTGAGGCCGCACACATGGCGTCGTGACCCGTCGTCTCCGTTCGTGAGCTCGAGGCCAGCTCGAGTTATGCCCCGCGGAATGTCGCTCCCGCCGCGCGCAAAGCAAGCGAGCAAGCTCTTTCGATATCACGCAGGTTAAACGCAGTTTCGCGTTGTGCACTTTGTGTCTCTCCTTTGTGCCTTCTTCCCTCCTCGAGCCGCATTTCTCAGCTCTGTCTCCCTCAGCGTTTTCAATTTGTCGAAAAAAAAATCTACGTGTGATCTTTATCTGGCGAAGACTCAAGGGCGATCGATGACAAGATTTTGTGATGGTCGTAGGTAAGTAAATAAAAAAAAAAAAAAAACGTTACGCAAACGTTACTCCAATTGCAAGAATTTTGTTCAAACGAACGAAAGAGACCTCTCTTTCGGACGTTTACGAACCGTAACGGGGTCAGATTGGGGGGTTTCGTATACCCGCGTGCGACGATCGAGGGTTGATCCGGAAATTCAGGAGGCTACGAGCGTCGTGTGCGCCGTCGTTGTAACGCCGTTCATGACTTAGCACGGTGTGCTCGGCGTCGTCGGCCACAGTCGGTGCTTTGGCTTTGGCGGTTGAGACTGCCGATATACAATGCCGCATTGTTTCGTCGCGTTGTAGCCGGCCTTAGTCGGTAGCACACATGCCGAGGCCGAGCCGATGTTTATTATCTTTGTTCGCGCAACCAAATAAAATATCACATCTTATATTATATCCGCGCTTCTCCTCCGAGTTCGTCCACCATATAAAATCCGATGTACTCCGTCGTACGTATTTTCAAGCGGCGTGGTAACGTGTGGGGATAAGATAGCGGAGCTTCTCGGGTTTTATGCAAGTCCGTAAGAAACGGATGTTTTAAAACAGATAAAAGGATATGCAGGTACGGATTGCGGGTACAGTTATAATGTTACACAATCGGCACGGAGGATACGGACGCCCCGAAAGGGAAGATATCTCCGAGAAAGGAGAAGGAATGGAGAAAAAAAATGGTTTATATGTATCGTATCGAACGAGAGAGTGTGAATACAAAGTGTGAAATATCGTAGTTTTGCGCGAAACTACCGTTTCGCACGCACATTTTCCTTCGCGTCCTACATGCGAATCGAAAGAGGCCATCCATCCACCTCTCGGTACGATGCCAGGTTTCCACTTTCATGGATGGCTGCCGGCTCGCGCGCCCGCACGTGCATCACGTGATTTTTTTATTTTCGTCGCCAGCAACTCGCGACTCCGCGTATTTCGCGAACGATTATTACGTACTATCCTTTGGATAGGAAAGTTTCCTTTCTCCCGAAAGCGAAGCGGACGAGGCGAAGAATCACCGCTGATAGATTCGCGGTCGGAGTTTCGATGTGCCAACGGTGAAAGCCGTGACGATCTCTGATCAGCCTTGGCACGATTAGATGCGCGAAACGAATTCTGCATCTCGCGATGCGCGAATCTCTTCTCTTCTTCGCGGAAGGACAGGAACAGGACGAAAAAGGGAGAAAAAAATGGTGGAGATTGAAAGGAAGCCCGTGAGGGGCCGCGCATCAGCGAGGGGAGGGGACACGGAGAGAGAAATAGCTTTCTTATTTCCATGAAAATTACGTTCGGCGATTTCGACGACAATGCCATTCCGGTGTTTTAAATGCAAATCCACAAAAGGAAAAACCGTAAAGGCATTATAATTTATATTACTACATGTGGCAGCGGCGCTTCCGGCGAAAGAGCATAGGCGCAGTTCCGGTCAGCCCCACGGGTTGGAGAGATCCTACATCGCCAGATTATGAGCCCACCGCCGCTTTTACAATGGATCGTCCGCCTCTGAGTCGTACGTCAGCAAGAATAATTCTGCGTTACCCGCCGCTCGCGCTCGCATCTTGCCAGCAAAATAATACAAACGATCGCCGAAGGGCCCGCGCGCGCGCGGCCTCTACGGCGTACAAATGTGCAAAATTATTTTCTCTATTGTCCAATAATATTTTCTTACGTTTTACGGATGTTATCGACGCCTATTACCTAATCTTAACGTAATTATATGTCTTGCACGCGTTAACAGCGAAAGGAGATGGACGATTTACGCTTTGCATGATTAACTCACAATTATATTTATCGATTCTCTATGATACATCTGTGACATTGGTGATAAATAGACATGTGCAACGGCGTATAAATACGCCCGGGTTGGAAACGAGGCGTTTCAGGTTTCTACGCTAGAAACTGGCCGTTTTTGATGAATTCGACGATCGCCTGGACGGTGATCTGGAAACGCGCAAAATTCTCTCGACCTTCCTCTGGAGATTTGGATTTGTAGATAGCGCTCGTGTACGCCGAGGTCAATTCGGACACTAACATCTGTGCTTTTTTAGCGGCCGCCTCGATCGATCCTGTGGGCGTTTTAATCTCCTCCGCGGTCCGAACAATCTCCCCCTTAATGAGCTCGACGAGTTTTTCGTCATCCTTTACATTTGAGTCCCCGCTCGAAATTTTCTGTAGGATGTCCCTGATAGCCACAGCATTCTCATCTTGGGACAAAATAAGGAATCTTTTTAAAAAGATCTGAATTAATCGAGGAATTAAAAAAAAAAAATACTCTCTAGGCGCGTGTAACTCTAGTAGCAATTAATCCTCAATAAATTAATTTTATTCGATTCAATTGTATATCTTTCACCTGTCGATGGTGTCGGTGTTTCTCTAATTATCCTTTGGGATTGCGAGGCGGTGCTCGCCAACAGGACAATCGTGACGATCGCGAACTTTGCCATCTTCGGAAAATCGTATCGAGCAAACTGTCAATCGATTGTCCGGCCGCGCTCTCTCTGTCTTTATATGAATGCATATCCCCGCGAGGACGAGCGCGGATCGAGTAGGGATGATATTATGTAAAACGTAATTTGCCGTTCGTCGTGCATGCGGCCGCTGACCATTATAAATGATCCTAATGAGTGTCATTAAAAAAGAAGACGCGCGAGAGAAAGTGGAGCGTCGTCGCAAGCGGCACGTTTCAAGAAAGTATGCTTTGTTTTGATTTCTATCCGTTGACAACCGGAAGAAATTATCTGAAATAAAACAGGTGTTAAACGAAGCATCTTCTCTTAATTATGATTTTGAATTGGCGAAACAACTGTTAATCTGTATTTTATGTAGCCAAGATAATTTGATGATATGATCTAAAAAATAATAATGGAAAAAAGAAATAATGGAACAGGAATAGAAGAATAGGATTCTTGAATTACGATTATGGATAAATCGATTATGGATAAACTGATTTATATTTATACATATATATATATATATATAGAGTTATAGTTATAGTTTTATGTTTTATATTTGTTACACAATACAATTCTTAAATCATGAATGCGTATGTCATCATAATTTTGCGATTGGAAGAGGCAAAGAGGCTTCAGCCGGAAGCGATTGAATGTTCTTTGTCAGCGAATTGCGAGTCGCGAAGCGAGTTTTTCTCAACCAGGCAGCAATCGTCGTAAAAGCGCCGTTGCAATTTTTCGTTGCAGTCGCTATGTACATTGCGATACACGCAATTCGACTCGACACGACGCCGCGCGCTCAACAGGTCGGGCGTCCGCGTGTTCTCCCCCCTTCGAAAAATGTAGGGGCAATGCCGATACTGGCCGACGGTAAAAGTGCGTGAACACAGGGAGGGAGTGCATCCAGCCATGATTCCTCCTCACCGATTTTTACCCCCTTCCTGCCTCCTTCCGTGCGCCCCTGCCCGTTCTCTCCCCTGCCTCGACGTTACCTTGACGCGACGCGTCGCGTCAAATTAAAGGCTGCCGAGTTGCTTTCCACCTGAAAAACGATTCAAATCTCCGCAACGCGATTCGCGCGACAAATATTCGGTCTTTTCTCGGAATAAAGGCGGGAAAAAAGGTTCGAAAAACCAATCGAGAGATAATCGCGACGGTCTGGTCGACGACGGTTCACCGTGGTCGTGGACAAGACGGCATTGCGCGCGGAGAACTCGCAAGAAGCCGTCCGTTTACTTTTAATGCGGGATGAATGAAAATACGGGTGCTTGAGTAAGTTTAAATTACATTTCATTCATGCAGGAAAAGCAGACACACGCGGGAATCGTCCTTCCGGCTCGCGTTGCGCACGTATCGCAGGATGGCGGACTCGCACGTAATAACGGCTGGACTATAATGTGTATTATCCCCGACATCCTGTGCGCGGCGGTGGCGACGTCTTGCGCGTTTCTCTCTTATGTTCAGGGTACTGGCCCTTGCTACGTTACGACAGCGATCGTAGAAGCGAAACTTAAATTTTTTTACGCGAACGTTTGCTTTTCGTCGCAACATTTTCATTCCTTTTCCTTATTATCCGCGCGCATTGCAGGCGCGATTTACCTTTACCGCCACGTAAAGGATCCTTTCCTAACGGTTTTCTCCGGCACGAGCTTGGTAGTTACGTAAGAGCACGCTCTCGAGAAACGCCCAATTTTCCCGACGCACAAAGAGAGGCGTCCGAGCGGAGGCGCGCAAAGGCGAAATATCGATCGCACGTACCATCGATCACGATCTTATCTGGCGCACGGACACGGGATTCACGTTCGGCTGGTAACAGAATGACGAGGAAACACGAGAGCTCGTGTATATCGTGGACGGTGTACGATGTACCACGGTACGCTCTCCGATACGGCGATCCACGATCACCGAGATCCACGAGATCACAATGAGAGGCTCGAGACACAGCGGAGCGACGAAGGGGGGGGGGGAGGGAGGAGGTTTCATCTCCTCGAGGGGGAAATGAAAAGAGAAAACCAGAGCGAGTCGATCGACGGACAGTCTCTTTATTCTCGTATCGGCGCCGGACAACGATGGAAGGCGACGTGGGCCTATTATGGGCTCATATCGCGTAAGCGCACAATGATCGGTGCCGACGCGCGGAGATCCTCTCCGTCGAGAGACGAGATCGGCCGCGTCGTCGAGCGGGCCCCCGATGAATGAGGTCCCAAACGCGTCCTCGTCTCGCACTCGGGGGATTATGGCGGGCGCAGGTCCCCGCCGAAGATCGACAGGGCCGATTACGTTCGCACTGACTTTAAGCCGTTTTAAATGCTGCCATTCAACCCGGATCGACGGGCAGCTCTCCTGACCTTGTCGCTCGCGGTGTACCGCGTTTGGCGTTTCTCACCGCTTGGTTCCTTTCTTACATTTTGTCTCACACAATGCGCGCTCTCCTTGCGAGCGCGAGGATGGCCCGTACTCGGAAATCATCGGTATACAACCGATAACGAAACGTCTCTGCTTGCGATATCTCGGCGAGTTGAAAATTATTTTTATACAAAAATTATTTTGTCATAGAAATTATCCTGTCGATAAAATCAATAATCGTATTAATCGATAATTATATTAATTACACGTCAGATCAGATTTTTCTTCCTTGATGCGACTGTTAATTTTAACATCTAGCTAGCCGCGACGATACTTGGGGCTAGAGTTGAAAATAGACTCTGGTGAAAGACTGACTTAGAGAACGGGAAATCGAGATTCGGTACGGCCTGTGGGGGTTCCGCTTGATCAGACCGATACGATTCTCACATGCAATCCGAGGGATCTGTGAAAAACAATTCCATGAAATTAATAAATCTATCCTCCGGGAGGACCTCCTACGATGCGGGGAAATTTTTTAAGGCAACGGGCCATTCCGCGAAACGTGGGTGATCCAATTAGGCGCGGCTGCACTCCAAAACGAAAGAAAAAAAAAGAAATCGTCGCGGTCACGAGCGTTATCCGTTTACGCGCAACAAGAT